TTAAGGATTCAGTGAGTTAATTGTGGGAATTAACTGTATAAGTGGTTGCACATTACTTGATGAGTGAGAGAGCTGTTAAAAGGGAACAGTACTGAGATTGTTGAGATACGTTTCTGGTGCAATTAATTGTCCATGTGACAACTAATTGACCACTCTAGCTAATTATGTAATTAGCATTCACATCATGAATTCACATAGTGGGAGAGGAACTGTCAGAGTCTGTCAGTATTTGTGTTAACGTAATTTGCTCGAGACTAATTACCTTTCAGGGGTATGGCAATTAGTGGGTCATGTTATTTCGTTACCTTGAGGTGCTTCCGGGGCTTAGTGTCCCCGCGGCCCGGTCGTCGACCAGGCCTCCTGGTTGCTGGACTGATCAACCAGGCTGTTGGACGCGGCTGCTCGCAGCCTGACGTATGAGTCACAGCCTGGTTGATCAGGTATCCTTTGGAGGTGCTTATCCAGTTCTCTCTTGAACATTGTGAAGGGTCGGCCAGTTATGCCCCTTATGTGGAGTGGAAGCGTGTTGAACAGTCTCGGGCCTCTGATGTTGATAGAGTTCTCTCTCAGAGTACCTGTTGCACCTCTGTTTTTCAACGGGGGTATTCTGCACATCCTGCCATGCCTCCTGGTCTCATGTGATGTTATTTCCGTGTGCAGGTTTGGGACCAGCCCCTCAAATATTTTCCACGTGTAAATTATTATGTATCTCTCCCGCCTGCGCTCAAGGGAGTACAGATTTAGGCTCTTTAGTCGGTCCCAGTAATTTAGATGTTTTACTGAGTGGATTCTAGCAGTAAAGGATCTCTGCACGCTCTCCAGGTCAGCAATTTCTCCAGCTTTGAAAGGGGCTGTCATTGTGCAGCAGTACTCCACTCTAGAGAGCACAAGCGTTTTGAAAAGTATTATCATCGGTATAGCATCTCTAGTGTGAAAAGTTCTTGTTATCCAACCTGTCATTTTTCTTGCAGTTGTGACGGCTACTTTATTGTGTTCTTTAAAGGTAAGGTCTTCCGACATGAGTACACCCAGATCCTTTACATTGCCTTTTCGTTCTATGTTATGATTTGCCTGAGTTTTGTACGTGGTTTCTGTTTATATATTTTCAATTTTTTCGTAGCGCATGAGCTGGAACTTATCTTCGTTAAACACCATATTATTTTCTGTAGCCCATAGAAAGACCTGATCTACATCTGATTGGAGGTTTGCCGTGTCCTCTATGTTGCCTACTCTCATGAAAATCCTAGTGTCATCTGCAAAGGATGATACAGTGCTATAGGTTGTGTTCTGGTCAATGTCCGATATGAGGATGAGAAGTAGTGGAGTAATTAACGTCAGAGGTCTTGATGACTCAGATGACTCGGTAAAGCGAGGTCATGGAGCTAGCATAACTCGTTATATTAATCATATCCTGTCCGATGACAGTGGATTAAGATGCACTTTTGTTAATTAGTGGAGTAATTAACTCCTCGTTCGTGAATTCACAGTGTTTGATGAGACCTGCTTAGGCAGTGCGGAGTGAGACGTATTTATGTATGATTAATTATCGATCCTGGTGACAGTTAATTAATTGCTCGGGGTTAATTAGGGTAATTAACACTCATTAAGTAAATTTTGACATAGACTGTTGAGAAGCTATCAGGTTAGTGGTAGGCTTAGTTAACGTAACTCGATGGGGATTTAATTAGTGATCCGTTTCACATTAATTAGGAATTACTCACTGAATACTTGCAAGGAGTCAAGTGTGATGTAATGTAAGAGAGACTTTGAATTATTGTTAACAAGATGACTTGTGTTAAGGGATTAACGACAAGTCATTAACAATCATTAACAGACAAGTGTTGATGATTAACGTAGTACTTTGTTGCTGACTGCTGTGATCAGTCAATTAACGTAATTAATCACATAATCAATTTTGTAATTGATTAAGGCAATTTCTTTTGTTTATCGTCTGGTGACCGAGAGTAAAGTAACTTACGGATTACTGGAGCTGTGTCTCAGAATACCACCTTGCCTGGCTTTGTTCACTGTTTACAGTGCAACTTCTTGCAGGGAATTGCAAAGAGTGTTCACATTAGGTTGTGATAGGGGGGGGGTCACTGTTGGACTACCCGCCTAGTTACGTGGGTCTCTCCTGTAGGGTTGGAGGACCCGTAAGATTGTGATTATAGTATCTGTTCACCGTGAAGCCGTGACAATATTGATTGCAAGCTTGTGTCATCAGTGGGCATCCATCATTGTTCAGTTAGTTCATGTAATCAGCCCGCAGTGCGAGGGGCTGTTGAATAGCTGTGTTGCAAGTGCCACTTGATAGACAATAACGTAACGAATCACTCTCTGTGGTGTAACTTAGTCTGTGATTTTTTTTCGATTTGCAATATTGCGTCATCAGTGGGCACACCTGTGTTCAGGTTAGTTCAGTATGCAGCCACACAGCAAGGGTTGCTATTTAGCTGTTTGTTATACTGCCACTGGATGGACATTAACGTAACGTAAACTCGATGTTGTAGTAGTTTAGTCTCTTGTTATTAATAAATTATTTATTTTATAGAAAATGGTCTTTGATGTCAACCCTTCAACCATTCGTTTCCACCCATGTTCTGTTTTATACGATTGGTGTTGATGTGATCTTTTGAAATGACGGCTGTTCTTGGGAATTCCAATTCCAATTCATCACCACATCAAATACAAATATTTGATTGTGAGAACCCGTCGGTTACCCTTTATTGGTTTTAACGTCTTGTTTAATTAGGAGGAGCCAGCGGCCTATTGTGGACAGGTTTTCACCTCTAGTGGTGGAAGCCTGGCGGTTTGCTCCCGCTTTTCCTTTTTCTATTGCACTCATGCTTATCTGCCGTGAGCAGTTCTTAAAACTTGAGGTCCACCTCCTAAGGGAGGTAGGCGTAGAAAAAACTCTCACACTTTGCTTGTAATTAGCTAGATGAGGAATACCTGGAGGCTGGCAGGCCGCACATGCCTGCCCATGGTGGCAGGCCGCACATGCCTGCCCATGGTGGCAGGCCGCACATGCCTGCCCATGGTGGCAGGCCGCACATGCCTGCCCATGGTGGCAGGCCGCACATGCCTGCCCATGGTGGCAGGCCGCACATGCCTGCCCATGGTGGCAGGCCGCACATGCCTGCCCATGGTGGCAGGCCGCACATGCCTGCCCATGGTGGCAGGCCGCACATGCCTGCCCATGGTGGCTGGCAGCACATATGCCTGCCCATGGTGGCTGGCAGCACCTGCCTGCCCATGGTGGCTGGCCGCACCTGCTTGCCCATGGTTGCTGACCGCACCTGCTTGCCCATGGTGGCTGGCCGCACCTGCTTGCCCATGGTGGCTGGCCGCACCTGCTTGCCCATGGTGGCTGGCCGCACCTGCTTGCCCATGGTGGCTGACCGCACCTACCTGCCCATGACTAACCCTCACCTCCCTCCCCCTGGTGCACTTCACCCACACTAGGGGTGAAAGGGAGTGGAGAGAGAGTGAAAGGGAGGTGATTGATTTGGAGAAGAGAGAGAGAGAGAGAGAGAGAGAGAGAGAGAGAGAGAGAGAGAGAGAGAGAGAGAGAGAGAGAGAGAGAGAGAGAGAGAGAGAGAGAGAGAGAGAGAGAGGGGGAGGGAGGGAGGGAGGGAGGGAGGGAGGGAGTGTGTGTAGGAGTAATAGTAGAGTAGAGATGTTGGGAAGAGTGAGGAATAGTACGAGAGCTATGGGGAGGAAGGTGGAAAGGAGGGAGGGAGAGTTTAGAGAAAGGAAGAAGAGTGGGAAGACTGGGCCAGAAGGAAACAGGGGAGGAAGCGAGACTCTGGTAACTCCAGGCTCCTCATTTAGTCAATAAGTAAATCAGTACTGATAACTCGATAAGCGGAGATAAGGCTATTTTGGTCGCACTAACGTCATCTGACACTGGGTTGGATCCTCATATAACGTCCCTCTGGAGCTGGTTCGGTCCCCAGTAAATGTCCTCCGTCAAGACGTTGGAAACCGACAAAATGTTCTGTGGCAAGAGGATCGAACCCTCCTCAAAGAAAGTTTTCACATATCACTTGGAACATTCCTCGGAGACTGATGGTAATGGAAGTGTTTTGTGGATATATTTAAGTATAAGATAATTCCCCAGGAAATGAGAAACGAAGTAGTTGTTGAAACGCTCCATACCCCAAGGTAGTAGCTGACAGGCTCCATACCCAGAAGTAAAGTGAATACCAGGAGAGATCTCTAACTCGTATGACTACTTACCCAGAGGTAAGTACCAAGAGAGAGCTCTAACTCGTATGACTACTTACCCAGAGGTAAGTACCAAGAGAGAGCTCTAACTCGCATGACTACTTACCCAGAGGTAAGTACCAAGAGAGAGCTCTAACTCGTATGACTACTTACCCAGAGGTAAGTACCAAGAGAGAGCTCTAACTCGTATGACTACTTACCCAGAGGTAAGTACCAAGAGAGATCTCTAACTAGTATGACTACTTACCCAGAGGTAAGTACCAAGAGAGAGCTCTAACTCGTATGACTACTTACCCAGAGGTAAGTACCAAGAGAGAGCTCTAACTCGTATGACTACTTACCCAGAGGTAAGTACCAAGAGAGAGCTCTAACTCGTATGACTACTTACCCAGAGGTAAGTACCAAGAGAGAGCTCTAACTCGTATGACTACTTACCCAGAGGTAAGTACCAAGAGAGATCTCTAACTAGTATGACTACTTACCCAGAGGTAAGTACCAAGAGAGAGCTCTAACTCGTATGACTACTTACCCAGAGGTAAGTACCAAGAGAGAGCTCTAACTCGTATGACTACTTACCCAGAGGTAAGTACCAAGAGAGAGCTCTAACTCGTATGACTACTTACCCAGAGGTAAGTACCAAGAGAGAGCTCTAACTCGTATGACTACAAACCAAAGAAAACATTAACTATGCTCCAGGTTATAAGAGTAAAGAGATGTTGATGCGTCCCCCACAGTGTGTTGGTGACAGAGGGAAGGTGGTCATCACTTACTGGTAATCCACAATGGAACATCATCGCGGGACAATACTCTTGCAATTCTTCTCTTCGGGTGAATAATTAAATCACAGCGAGATGTGATGTCACTCACATGTGTGTGAGTGAAGAACACTCATGTGATGAGGTGTAGAAGAGGTCGACACTGAGGATGAGGTGTATTATACCACACACTTCCCTCCACACACTAAACACACTGACCAGCGGCCTCACTTGTTCGCTTATCTCACCAAGTGCTTCACCTTATCAAGAGTTTACTCTTCATCTAATTGTATCATGTGATGCTTTCTCACTTGACCTTTGTTTCTCACCAAACATTGTTGATGTAGATCATCAAAAAAATTGTAGTTTTATTAACCGGAGCAGACGAGCAAGAGATTGTGGATGAGAACACGTGAGGTAAGATAGACCAGAGTATATGTAGAGCCTCACCCTTGATCAGTTGTCAAGTGTGGCCAAGGCGGGCCACTTTGTGGCTGCGTGTGGCAGTAGAGTAACACCCTTTGTCCAGTTGTCAAGTGTGGCCAAGGCGGGCCACTTTGTGGCTGCGTGTAGCAGTAGAGTCACACCCTTTGTCCAGTTGTCAAGTGTGGCCAAGGCGGGCCACCTGGTCCCTGCTGGGCGCTCTTTAACCTCCTCATCCTTCTCTGCAGTTCAGTCAAGCTCCTCATTCATGTTCACTTTATTAGAGAAAGTAAATTAAGTGTTCTAAATCTTTCTCATTCGGAATGTTTGTAATTCCTTGGGAGAATGTTGTCATCCTTCTTTGTACGAGCTCAAGTGAGTCTTACTGGGACCTGAAGGACCAAGACGTTCACAGCTGAAGTATGATATTAGATGTCTTAATGATAACGCTTCAAAAAATAAATCTCATTATCTTATTTCCTTTATTTCTTCATTTAAGCATAAATTTCTCGTGTTAAGATTCCTGCCAATCATGACTCCCAGATTATTTTCGCAGATTTCGTACTTTCAGCATTGTCTAGATATATGCAACACTGTGTTGCATTTGTGTTCTATAGAACATACATGAACACTGAGACAGTGTTCTGTGTCGCTATACTGCTGTCCACGTCATCAAGGCGAACATAGACAATAAGTTACAAACAACAGAAGAGGTTCATTTTACCCAAATACATTTTTAACATAAAATAAATTCAAAGAAGTTTCATAAATCATCCGGGATATAAGCTGTAATACCGGGAATTGTCGGTATATGATTATCAAGCCTGGTTTAGTCAATGTAAAATTGGGTATTTGATATCAGCTCCGTCGGTTGAACAAACCATTTGCCGAAGTGTTCAGTGTGATCCTCTCTCACCTTCCTGTTGACCTGCGTGTTCCCAGTACTGGCTTACTGTTCATCCTTCTCCCAGTCACAGTGTTCAGTTTTTTATTATTATTTTCTACCACAGACGTGGCCACACGTTTACAATGCTAACCAGCATATATACAATTTCTTCTGTCTCTCATGGTCAGGGTTTGAGATCTGTTAAACATATAGTTCAGGGATTTTTTGAACAATCAACCACAAAAGGTGATTGAAGTGCTTTTAAAATGATAAGCTAATCTACATACATAAATACATAGAAACACAGATTTACGTCTGCTCTACATAAAGTGTTCGATGTGTCTTTTACATAGCGTCATTGATGTGCATTTACAAAGGTTAAATGTAATTCTGATCAGCTTCCACATATACTTTATACACATACATATACATATAGTTGTGTGTTTTCCGTAGTGTTGGATGGACCTGGGTCGGGAGCTCCTGGGTCACTAGTGAAGTGGGAGGGATAATCAAGCTACTTCAAAGTGAAAAAGTGTATACGAGTGAATGAAAAAGTTGGAATCTGACTCAAACCATAAGGAAGTGAAGAAAAATAGTAGAAATAGCGTAATTGAAAATAGGTGTTAAACGCATTGCGGCAGTGTGGAGAAGGGTGGAGTAGACCTCAGCTGACTGTGACCTCACAGCCTAAACGTGACCTCACCCTGGCCGCAACTCTTACTACACCGCGTGGGGACTCACTCACCTGTATTGAGTTAGCAGATTAGTAAGGTACTTGGGATGCCTGTGGGTAAGGTTGTTACAGCAATGACTAGATCAGGAAGGGCACCAAGGTCCAGCAGTATTATGATTGAAAAAGAGGACAGGCTTGTGGAAAAGCTGATAGGAAAATTTGTAGAGAAGAGGGATGTTTGGATAGATGATCTAATCAATGGGATTAAAAGTGAGATCTTTAATAAAATACAGGATGAGGTTCAGAGACAAAAACATGAGCTGATGGACTACATACAGGAAGAAATCAGAAAGAGCAGGGTAGCATGGGAGAGTGAAATAACTAGTCTTGCAACTGAATTTGGCAGGAATAAGGGAAGCATGGCAAGGGAAGGGGGGTCCTGGGAGATGGAGTAGTGAGTGTGGGAGGGGTGGGGGTTAGCCAGGGAGAGGCGACCAACATGACCCTTCACTGAGGAGGAGGTCAATCATAATCCATGAATAACTTGAAGCCAAGGCATCATCGAGGCAGCAAAGGATGGAGATTGAATATTTTGAGTTACAGGGGATCTTGAGAGATATCAGAGCCGAGATGGCCGGGAATGAGGTGGAAATACACCGACACATTGGGCCTTACATCTGTAATAAGAAACGACCTGTCCAGGTATAGTTCACTAACAAAGAGGCAGTGGATTACATACTGCAACACAAACACTTACTCAGTGGTAAGTGAGGGAAAGATTTTCTCCTCTTACACAAGGGAAAGAGGAGAAAATACACCGAGCCTATTAGACCTGATTTTCACCCAGAACGTAGAAGACATCGAGAATTAGAAACATGAAATACCTCTAGGGGCCAGCGACACAATGGTCGCTGTCCCCTAGAGGCCCCTCACAATGGCAAACCTAGTATTATTCTTCCTTTCCTTAAACCAGGACAGTACCCATCCCAGCCTGCGTCATACAGACCTATTTCCTTACTATCATACCTCAGTAAAGTCATGGAAAGGCTAGTACATAGCCTTGAGTAAAATAACATTATACCATCACTCGAAGCTGGTTTCGACTGCAATGCTCCACACTTGATCAAATATTCTACCTTGAACACGAAATCCGCACCTCTCTCAGAACCAGTAAATTTTGTATTGTTCTCTACCTAGACCTTAAAGGAGGTCTCATACTTGCCTCCTGGCAAAGCTTGCACGTTTAGGCGTACAGGGAAGATTACTTTTATGGTTACAGTCCTATCTTACAAACAGGACCTCTAAAGTCTATACAAGGTGAGTTTTCCGATGGCATCCCAATACAAATGGATGTCCCGCAAGGCTCCATACTAAGCCAAACCCATTTTGCTGCATTCTTAGAAGATTTGCCTAACACCCATCCTGTTCACCTCTCAGCATACGCTGACGACTTAACATTGACAATGCCCTACCTAATACAGTCTCAACAATGCAAACAACACTTGACCACCTCATAGATTGGACTCAACAATGGGGCCCTTCAAGTTAGTACTACCAAAATCTGTTATCAGATTTTCACTAATAAAAGACTTGCTCATTGGCATGCACTTAGACTCGCCCTCACTTACCTGGAAAGCACACATTCAACACCTTAAACAGACGACACAACCCCGACTCGCCATACTGAAAGCCCTCACTGGCACCACCTGGGGAGCACACCATAAAATCCTGCCCCGTTTCTATACAACCTACATTCGCAGCCAACTAGACTATTGTTGCCAAGCATATGCGTCGGGTGCGCCTACTAACCTACAGAGCCTCGAGGTCATCCAAAACAATGCCATGCGACTTATATGTGGCGCAATGCGTTCCACTCCTATCCTCAGACTTTACGGGAAAAAGGGCCTCACAAGCTTAGCCACCAGACGAGACATAATGTGTGCCAACTATCTGTAACTCTGTACTACTGCTCACCAGACACACCCATACAGATAAAAAATTAACCCAACAGTTAACCCACATAACCTCCACTTCCCATCCAATCACTCGCAACGTTTCCTCACACGGGCTACAAATAACTTCAATATAGACCTCTCTCTACTCCAAAACTCGGAAACCCAACTTACTGTTCCCCCTATTCCACCTTGGCTTTATACAACTCCTAATACATCAATACAACTCGAAGACAACATTCCAAAGTCTGCACGAAACTCAGCCATAGCCTCAGTCTTTGTCTCAACAATGAAAAATTGCTGCCCAATTACCACAGCGATTTATACAGATGGGTCTTGCATCATCAAAAACAACGTACCGTCGGTCACTAGCGCTGTATGGATACCGGAATACCATTACCGTCCCGTCAAGCAGGGATGGCGGTTATCAAACCAACTATCTGTTTTCACAGCTGAATTATATGCTTTATGTCAAGCTCTGCAAATAATCACATTACCAGTCGGGATATATACAATCTGCAATGACTTCAAGAGTGCGAATCAAGCAATTATGTACTCTTCAACAACATGCAAGGAGTTTGTTTACCCATGTCTTCAACTTCTTCATGAACATTGGCCAGAGGGTGCGGACGTCGGGCTAAAGCAGCCAGTCGTCGTTTGCCGTTGCTGCGTGGTGATTGACTGTTGTGGGTGTGGAGCGCTTACTAGCCGGGGATCCGGTTGGCGGTATGGAGGTAGGCGGTGGTGGCCGTATTCGACGGGTAGATACTGTACGGCTGGATTTTTCTGGTGCAGTGGACTGGCCCATTGTGGAGATTGCTCTCCTGGACGTGCTCCGTGTCAACGTCTCTGATCTCCTGGGGCTAAAAAGGATATCGCCTACCCGTGTGGCGGTGTCATTTGCCACGTCGCTGCTTTACCAGGAGTTTGTGGCTCGCTGGGATGCATGCTCGCTTCCTCTTCCTGCTTCGGCTGTGACTGTGGAGATCTCGGATCCCTGGGGACCCTTGACTTTTGTGAGTGTTCACGGTGTGCCGGTGACCTTCCCCGAGGCGGAGCTTATGTCGGTATTTACGCGGTTTGGTGCAGTGGTGAAACACCGGTTCACCACTTTGAGTGCGGGCCGGCTGAAAGGGGTCCGTCTGGGCGCTCGTACGCTTGTCTTGCGGGTTACGAGCCCTATTCCTTCCAGGGTTTCGTTTCGTGGGCTTTCTCTGCGGATATTTTATCAGGATCAAACACGAACCTGTTTCCGGTGTGGTGCTGAGGGCCACGTGGCGGCCAGCTCCGACGCTCCTCGTGCTGAG